CTTACCATGCTTAGTGAGACCTTCAAAAAAAACTTAATTTGGTTTGTCATTTGTAAATTTGCAGAAGTTTTGTTGACTTGTCCCAGTTGGCTCTTTCCAGACTCTTCTGTGTGTCCTCCTATTTCTATTTTTATTATTCCTACCAATGTAACAGAATTGTCAGACTTGGTGGTCATGGGTTTGCAGTCATCCCACCTTCCCGCTACCTTTTTTAAAAGGTGTCACGTTCATTGCTTTCTGTTTCTCTGGTACAGAAGTTATTTAAAGCAAAAGCTTACACATTAACATTAATGGACTAGCTATTTTACTACTATCCTTTAGCTCTCTGGGCCGACACCACCTGGTCCTGGCAATTTGTTACTATTCACTGCGATTTTTATTCTGTCGCCTCTTCCCCTGATCCTTCAGTCTGAGGCAGTTTTTTTTTTTTTTTTAATACTTCCCTTATGAAGTTAAAAAGTGCTGGCATGTGATTAATCCAGAGCTGCTCCAGGATAAATGAGACTATGGTAACTGATAAAGGTGTTTAGGATTTCTTTCTTTCTTCTCTTCTCCTTCCCCTCCTTCCTCTGCTTTTTTATTTCCCTTCTGTTCCTTCTTTCTATGGCACGGTCAAGTGTACCTCTATCAGGCGTACTATTTCTTCAGTACTTGGCCAAGTAATTAGTTTTTAAAGTCTCTTTGCAAATCGCTGTTCAAACACTTCCTTTTTTTGGCAGATTTTTGAATTTAACCTACCAAAGATTTTGACCCTTTTTCTTTTCCTCTTTTGTCCACGGCTTCAGCCTTTTGAAGGATGGATATTTACTTCTCTCATCCTTCCTTATCTTGCTGTTTAATCACACTGGCTTGGGATCCTTTGGGATGAAAATTTCTTGAAAGGTAGAAGATCCTACTACTGTATATGCGGCAGTTAAGATGTTGCCACTGTAATGCAGTCTGCCTAGATGATCTTTGAAAAGTTGGTTAGGAGCGTGACGACTGGAAATCTCATGGTTGCTTTTAGACTTTTGTGCCTTACGTAGTAGCAGAGCACATATCTGTTCCTATTTGCCATCTTTAATTCCTGC